GTATACTAAAATAATATTGATATGTCTCTCAATACATTGTATATGTACTAGTACAGTATACTAGTACCCAAGTTCTGATGAGCTTTGATGCATAATACACACGAATGAGAAGTTTACAAGAGACTGAGCAAAATCGGTAAATCTTTGAGAAATAGTGTAACATCTGCAGCTATTTTCAACTCCAGTTTGGTTAAAAAAATTTCGACCAAAGCAACTAATATCCCTCCATTTTGTCAGCTTCTTGTTCCTTTTGATATGACTAGAGATCCATCGATCAGCTATTTTGATTAGATGTTAGATATTAGATGTTAGATTCGATCTGTGGTTGAGTGATGCAATGTATGTTTTACGTGCTTACTTCTAACAACAGTATATGTCTCTAGTCTTTTTAGATTGCATTTATAGCTACCAAACGGTCCAAGTTAAACCTACGTCTATCAAACTCTTTTCATTTATTGTAATAGCACTACTATCTCGAATATGTACCCGTGTTTATCGGATCTCTTCATCTAATTCCGATCATTGGTTTGGACACTTAACGCTTCTTTTTTTATTAAACATAAATATGAAATACTTGAGTCATATGAACTCAATCCGAATAAGGCCCAGTTATTTTGAGTTTTTGGGCAAGTTGAGCGGAGCAAATTGAGTCAGCAAACCAGAGCAGATTGAACAACTCAAAAGAACAGAGCCAAAGGCCTAACGAGGATGAATACAAATAGCTAAAGGTGACATTGGGCCATACCGGCCCATAGCATAGCATAACATAACACAATGCGAAAATAAATTGTACAGCAAGAGAAAACAATATGTACTGTATATCATAACATTTTTTTTTTTTAATTTTTATCTTGAGCTTATTTTAATAGCTCACGGCCAGAATTATACAACACAACAAAGTACATTAAAAATTAGTTAATCAAATTTAGGCACATAAGTACAATGCAACACAACATAATGCCGTGTGGTTGACACGACACATACTAAGTATGAGTTCGGCTATGACCAAGTTAACCTAGTAAAATTCAAGGCACACAAGCTCGACACAACCAAGTGAGTCAACAATAGTCATCTATTAAAATAGCGGGTTCAAAAAAGGGAAGTAGAAAAATAAAGGTATGATTGATGGAAGTTATATTAGAAGCTAAGCTTAGGGAGACAGATAGATGGGTAGGGTGTTGAGTGATGGGAGATCTATCGAAATGAGATAGCACTGCAAAGAGTTAAGTCAAAATATTAAAACCAAATTGCTTCACTCTTTGTCACGTTTAGTTACTGTTTTGCATGAACCGTCACGTTTCACAAACATCATTTATGTTCATGCCTCCACCACTACGTCCCCTCAATCAACACTCCTCTCGTACCACTATTCTTTCCACCAAGAATAAGCATATTCAATTTTAGGTTTCGTTTGGTTGACACGGGAAATAAATTCCTATAGGAAGTTGTATTTTATGGGAAATTATTTTCAAATAAAATTCTTAGGAATTTCTTTAAATTGTTTGGTTGTGCAAATGGAAAGTTGGAATTCTGGTGAACTTTGAATCACCAAGAGGAATAGGTAATTCACTTTCTAAATTTTGTAGGAAGTGGAAATTCCCATATATTTTTTCAATTTTTCCCATTTTTATTTTTTTATGTCAACCAAACAACGCTCCAAATTATAAAATTCCTTGAATTTTCATTTCCCCTATTTTACTTTGTCAACCAAACCACCCCTTATAATTGCATAATATGGTCATATCTCATATGGAGATGATAATATTCAAATCATGTACATGAAGCTAAGATGTTTAGGATAAGCTTTAACCACATTTATAATACTTTTTTGGGACAAATCTTAGAAAAAGTTTGCTAGGAATTTGTTAAAGGTTTTACGGGGTTTTAGTAATCACATCTGTTAAAAGAAAATAAACACAATCTCAAGTTAAAAGCGATAAATAATAGAACTATAATAATAATTATAAATCAAAGAATGAAGACCAACGTAGAAGAGACATTTTTGAGTAAGGCCGGAATATTTTTGAGCAAGGCATAATTATATGAGATATTTTAACATAAAAGTGTTGTAAATTGTATTAGACCATGTATGAATGAATTCTTTTTTTTTTTTACAACACATGTATGAATGAATTCTATTACAAAGAGCAACCTATTTATAACAACCTGTAAAATCTTATAAAGGCGTAATTAATCTTTGTTGTTTTGAGTTTTTGACAATACTAATTGACCTTTTTATCTGTTAGAAAATATTGATTACCTGTTCTCTTTAGCTTAATTTTAGTTCAGTTCAGTTCCTAATTTTCTTCTCTCTTAAACAATTCAGTTCAGCTCAGTTCATTTTAGTTCAGTTCAGCTCAGTTTAGCAAATCAGAACTGACCCTTAGTTGATTGATATTTCCTTAATTCGCTTCTTCATTTATGGGACGTTATTCTGCTTGTTGCCCAAGCATTCATTACACGTCATCAAATGATCTGAGCTTTGAAGGCAAGCTAACTTCATTTCTTAGAAAGGCTCAAAAAGGTGGTCGACTACTCAGAATGGTGCAGTTAAGTTTGTACTGTCCGTACTTAGTTAAGACCACTGCGCGAATAATATTTCGCCAATCAACGTGATTCGTTTTTTTATTTAGCTTTGATTGGTTCATTCTATACTCTTGATTGATTGCATAAGATCTTTAATTAATTGTTGATTTCTTGATTGGACCAATCAAATCCTTGATTGATGAGCTATGATTCCGTTTGATATCTTTGACTATGCATATTTTGCTTTTTCAACTTATTTTCTTATTATGTATAAGTGAAGTCATATTTTGTATTCTATAATTGATCATTTAATAATCTTTTCCTAATTTGTAGGTTTATAGAATTTGCTCCCAACAATATTGAGTTTTAATTACTTGCTATATTTAAGAAGTTTACCAAGCTGTGGCAAAAATATGCTACGTACGTAATTCTTCCATTCCTTTTTGTTTTTATGTTTTGACAGTCATTTTTAGTTTCTCTTTCAAAAAGATTTCAAATACTAAACATAACACACAAATTAAATAATACAATCCTAAATATATTTATATACACAACCACTTATTCCAAACTTCAACTATAACTAACCTTATACTTCGTAGTTGGTACTATACTATAAATAAATAAAATACAATTTATGAGATCTTTAGAATATGTCAAGCAAAAACTATCAGTATAATAATGATGATTAATTAGCTATTAGGGCATCTCCAATAGATAAGCAATACCACTTATAAGTGCTATAACCTGAGTTGACACACCATGTGTTTCAATAGTGAACTATAATACTTACAAGTTTGTTTTATAACCTGAGTAGTAATTTGATTGACTTTACATTCAAGAAATACTCCAAAAGTTTATTGGCATTTCATTTCTCAAATAACTGTTCGAGGTATATTTTTGTGAAAATGACTTCAAAATAGACTTTAACTTGAACATATAACCTTTGTATGGTTATTAGTTGGATTTAGTCGTACTAACAACTACTACTAATAATTCAATATAAGTTAGCTAGATTTAATCCCAAGAACAACATCATTTTACATTCTTCTACAAATTAATTATGTCAGCAATAACAAATATCACGGATTTGGTAATTAAAATGAAGATAGGCCAAACTCACCATCCCCCTCCATCCCAAACTTTTAAGTTTATATTAAATTATCTTTTATATTTCCTATGTTTCCTTATAGCTGCAACACTCCTCTATTCAAGCTTTTCGATGCATGATATCAATCGTTAATATCTTTAATTACCAATATGTAAAAATTATTAACATTTGATATTAAATTAGTATAAATCGAGACGATAGATTTCTATCAGTGCCATGTGCTGGCATGGGCCTGGTCCTTCACTAATGAATATGTCCAACCGGTTTTTTCATAGCTATAAATTATCAAAGCTAGCCAAATGAAAGACATGAATAATGTAAAAGTCAAACTGTCGCAACAAAAAAAAGAAAAAAGTAGTAAAAAAAAAAAGAAGGAAATTTCAATCAAGTTCTAAGTCCAAAGGAATAAAGAAGGAAATTTAGTCCATATAAGAGATGTATAAAGTCAATCGGCAATCACTATATTAGGTATCCCCAATACATTGGAAAATGGAGAGTGCGAATCTATTCCTATAAGTTCATCATACCATCTTTACACTAGGTACTTGATAGATAAATGTGATCTTTACACAACAACTATCGTCCACAATAATATATATTATGTACAAGTAAACGAGCACAACATTCAATTGATTACAACTAAATAGAATTAAATAGAATTATACAATTAAATACAAAATATATCTTCTAATAACAAAACTTATTGTAACTTTCAAGTTTAAACTTTTATTGGCCAATTCTAAACAAAGTTTTTGCTAAGCAATGAGGTAAACTAGATAATTTATTCTATTGAAATTATTTAAATAATTAATTAACTTCCATAGAGTAAGATTTCTGTGAAAATATGGGATGGATAGGAAGTAGACCGGTGATCGGATGTCCACCCTTTTCTCTACACCACAAGTCCAAAACAATATAGATGACCTAAGCTAATTAGTGTAAAAAAAGAAAAAAAAAATAAAATAAATATAAATAAAAATAAAAATAAATGCCCAAACATAAAACAACCCTCCCCACAAAAAGAAGTGAAAACGTACCAAAAAAGCAAGGAAACGTCTAAGTTGCCCTAAAATACTGGCATGCATCAAGATAGTGATATCACCCAAGTCTGTTGGAATTGAATGTTTGACGTTTCACACACATCACTCATGAGTTCATCACATAACACACTCGATCCCAACATCTGTTGTCGTATTGATAGTGTAATTTCAATTTGTAACGTGACAGTTAAATCTAAACAAAACAATATATGAACATTTGCTACTTGTTAATTTGTAATGTTGTTTCAACTAATAACGTAAAATTAAATAGGAACCAAAGTAAAAACGTATAAGTAATCAACTTGTTAATCTCAATTTAGAGCAAGAAAGTGTAGTAATCACTTTATTAACCAAGATTATATGTACTAGCTGTCTAGCTCACAAGGGGAAAAAAGTTCATTGAACCATACATAATTATCTCAAATTACATAAACTAGCTATAATAAGAAACTTGTAAAACTAAATTAAATCTATAATAGTCTAATAATACTAGTTCAGAAGGGGGTGAACTTCTTTCCATCTTTCTAGTATTGATCCTCATTCGTTGCCGGCGTCGGAAAGCTCCTCTAGATCTGCACAAGATGAGAAGAAAAACATTGTTCTCAAATAAATGGCGCATCATAGCTACGGAGTACTTAGCTAGCTAGCTATGTCCAATTCATTGTATTCCACTGCAAATGAAGATGGCAACAATAATAAGCATTTTACTTAATCAAAACTAATTAATATACCCAAATATATGATTGAATTGCAAGCTGGAAACTATGGGATGAAATAACATAATGTATACAAAAATAGAAAGCAATCAAAACCTGACAAATTTGACTTCAAGTTTACATGCACTGTTTATTCATTCAACGTACCAAAGAATTTTGAACCTTTGATGTAAGTTTTTTTTGCCTAAATGATTGAATAAATTTATTGCTAATCAAGATTGTTCTTTTTCACTTTATTAAAAATAAATAAAAGTTAGTCTTTTATACCATAAGAAGTTAACTAGTTAAGAATTTAAGATGTTCCTATATAGTTAATGTTTCAAGCAAATTAAAGTATTTTAAATTCAATTACTATTAAAAATAAACTTTGATTATTATAGTTACACATGAAAATTAGAATTATTTTGATTCGATAACATTGGAGAAACTATGATCATCTATCTAAATATAAACAACATATAACCTTCCCAAATGGGAAAAAGAATTGAACGATTTGTTCCAATGTTTAAAACAATAGAGTATCTCTTTGATTATAAGTAAACTCCTTACCAAATTTAGACGTGTTATAAACAGCATTAAATTTTTCCACATGGTAAAAAAATGTGGTGATCGTTATGTGTTCCATTATATATACCCTTCCATTAAAAGAAAACTCCTTACTAATTTAAGACGTTTCATAAATCACATTTATTTTGTCCATGTGGTTAAAAAATGAATTGAATGATATGTGTTCCATAGTTTTCATCATTACATAATCCCTTAGATCATAAGTAAACCTACTCCTTATGAATTTAAGACTGTAAAAAAAGTTGTCACTTCACTTTTCATATTAACAAAAGTTAAGAATAACTAAAAATGCAAGTTTAAGCACATAACATTATGGTTTCATTAATACCTGGTAAGGAAACCCCGGAGCAAGAAGATCCGGGGTAGAATCGAGCTTATGAAGCAACGGAGAGGCGGTAACACTACCAACAAGGTAGTAAGACGCACCATGTTGAAGTGGATGAACCGTAACACCCCATTCATTAGTCATAACCGGGTGTCCGGAACCAGAATGAACCAGCACAGCATCCTCCCCAAACTCCTCCTTAACATTAAACGGTCCGACCGGAAGCTCGAATTCCATCCCGTTAATAAACACCGTTGATTTCCCTGAAAGTCCAGCAGACTCACCTACACCTACAAACACACAAACAATTTTCCATTGAAAAAATTAAGCAAACAAATCAATAAAAAACAGTCAATCATAAAAACTGGCCATGCACACGTCCGGAGTTAGGAAGAGGGTGTTCAGTCTGCTGATTTTCTGTTGGGAAAAGACAAATTTAGCCCCTATTTGAAGTTACTATGACAAATCTGTCCTTAGTTTTTATAGGTGTGTTACATAATTTTCAGTTCAACTTATATGTTATGTTATGTTACATTACATCAATCATGTCGTATCACATTCAATATTCTTGTAGTTGTCTACCAAAATTTATTGGATACATATAATTATGAAATGATAAGTCTAACTAATAAATTTCCTAGCTTTTCATTTACCTGTCAAATCTTTCTAATAATAGGGTCAATAGTTTTATGGTCAATGTAAATTACTCTATCCTACCTAGTTTCTAGTTAGATTAATTACTCTCTTCGTTCTTTTATAACCGTCTTCTGAAATTATTATACACACGAATTAAGATGTTATATGTTCTTTTTATACAAGTAAAAGCAATGTTGATTCTTTTTATGCAAAAAGAGAAATTATTAGTTATTGCATGGATATTCAAAATCAACTAATAATATTTCATAGCAATCCTAATTTCAAATATAAAACAAATTAAAACACTACATTAGTATTATTAGTGACACATATCATGTGACCAAATACAAAACAATAAAGGAAACATATTAATTAAGTGATTAGTACTCTATAATCGTTACAAACTATAATTAAGGTCAAGCATTCAAATAATGTGCAAGTTATGTTAACTTCAACTAATTAAACAAATATCATGTGAAAAAAACAAAGTATAGTAAAGCAACATTCATGAAAAAAATGCATCTAAAAAAAATTTAAGCGTTACCTAGCAATTGACCAAGACTACCCGAAATCGCGGTAGGAACAACAGGAGAAGAGGAAGTAACAGCACAAGTAGAAGTATTAGGAGGATTAGTGACCAAGAAACTCAACTCTTGTTGAAACTTAAGCTTCTCAACTTCATGATCTCTCTTAGAATGAACACCACCAAACATATCACCTAGCAAGAGAGACGAGAACCCGCCTACGGCTTGATCGGAGCTAGCCGGGACATTGATTGTAGCCGATGCATCGTCGTGGTGGTGAGTTGGTCCAAAGCATAACCCTTGACTGAAACTATTACCACCACCACTTTGGTGCAAGGGAAAGAACAAAGGATCTTGAGGGACAAATTTATGAGTAGTAATATTAGTAGTAGTAGGAGGAATAAGTTGGTGGAAATAAGGGTTACATTGGTTAACACTAGTAGGAGAATTTCCAAATTGATCAACAACAACATTATTAGTATTGTTACTATTATTATTGTTGTTGTTGTTAATGCTATTGTTACTACTACTATTACCACCATAAGATGATGAGCCTCCTCCTGACCTAGAAGGCGGCACCTTACGAGGTGACGCCTTATCGGATGAGGAGGAGGAGGAGGACGCTGGCATTGGTTGCGGCGGGCTGTGGTGGTGATGGATACTAGTAATGACGTTATTGTTGGTGGCTGCGGCAGCGGTGGCGGCAGTGGTTTTAGCTTGGAGTGTGCGTTGCTTATGCTTACTTCGGGACTTACGGTTTTGGAACCAATAGAACACGTTGGCGTCACCAACTTGACCATACTCTTGGAGTTGTGCTCGGATCCTCCGAATCTCGTCTCGTGGCGGGTTTACCATACCCGAGTTGAATATCGCCTCTAGGATCCGAATTTGTTCCGGTTTCGGGTTCCACCTCGGCTTTGGCTCCGGACTCCTCTCTTCACAACCTATATCAATAAATAAAAATTCATTAAAAAAAAAAAATTACACATATAAAACCCTAGAGAAATGATAAATATAATCAACATATATTTTTTTTTTGTTATAATGAATACTTCTATCGTCCAAATTTAATTGTCGCGTATTCATATTAAATTAAACTATCAACGTGACTATTAATTTCAAACAGACGGAGAAAATATAATACCGGAAGAGAAAGGGGAATTACTCGAAGATGAACGGCCACATGAATTGGAGAGAAGAGACGATTGGTGATGATTGGAGTCATGTTGTTGTGACCATGGTTGATTATTGCACGGCTTGGACTTGAACATGCTCGGCCAGTGTCGATTCGACGACGCCATTTTTTATGATGATTTTTTTTTTTTTTTTTTGTAAGAAAATTATAAAAGAAAGCAACAAAGAACTTGAAATAGTTGTTGTTGATGAAGTTGCACTTGAAGTAGTTGCTAGGTTTTTAGCAACCCTTTATATAGTACTCCTTGTATGTACCTTCAATTATACATCAACAAATTAATTAGACAAAGAACCGCCTGTAAATTGATTAATAATTAAGCAAATAAAATACAAGATTAATCAAACTATATATTAAAAAAAATGTTATAGGAAGAGAAGAGGAAACCCATCATTTTTTGAAAAAAATAAAAATAGAAAAAATTGAAGAAAATATGTACCTTTTTAGTTGATATATTTGGATCTATATTTTTGTGTTTGTAAGTATATTAATTTTCTCTCTCCTAAGTTTGGTTTTGGTTGCAGAAGGAAGAGGTTATTGATTGAGGGGTGGGATTATTCTAATGAAGTGGAAGAGGTTGTTGCAGGAATAAATAGGGGGTGTGAATAGTTATTGCATTTTGCAAACATAACACTAATTTTGTTTTTATTTTATTTATATAATTTTTCTTAAAAAAAAAATAAAAAGTTGGGAGTTGAAAGCCTTTTGGATTGACTCGAGAGGAAAGATTAAATTCTTCAAAGATGACAGTTATAATCCTTTCATTTTAAACAAAAATAAATAAAATTGTAATTTTAATGTTTGAAACTAGGAGTAGAAATTGCGTAATTTGGTGAAAAAAAGAGGTAAAAGGAGAGAAGTAAAGTGTGATGAGTAGGATTAGATTCTCTTACTTCAAAAGAGTAAAAGAAGAAAGACTTTTCGAGTTTTCAAAATCAATAGAAGTTCATTGAATTGAATGAATGACAAATCGATCAATACTATACTTGTTACTTTTGACTCAAATGTGAAAAAGAATAATTTGTTCTTTCTTCATAACTAGTCATTTGTTCATAATTAGGGAGTAATTATGATACATGCATGGTTTTTTTTCAATTTTTGGTCAAGTTAGTTGAATACAAATGGAATGTTAATTAAATGTAATTCTTAATTAAGGTTATGCTAATATAGTAATATGTCCTTCAAAACAATAAAAAGTAATCGTATGTCTTTCTTCAAAAAAAAAAAAAAAAGTACTCCTATTGTAAAGCTAATGAGCGCCCTCGGGGCGTTAGATAAGAGAATTAAAGTGCAAATATTAGAGTAAAATTAACATTAATTACACCGAACGACGCGTGATTTTGTCATGAATTCCCAACTTAATACCATTTCAACCAATGTAATTTATCCTTATCTAACACCCCGGGACGCTCGTTAGCAAGATCGTTATATTTATAGAACAATATTAAGAAGTTCGAATAATCTAAGTATAATACTCGTATGATAGAGTAAATTTTGTATTAATTGGTGATAGACTATTAGAAATGCCATACATGTGTTTTAATTTTGAAAATTCAAACATGAACTGTGTGAATATGTAGTTATAACACGAAGTATTAAATATAGATTCATACTTTCTATAATATCTATCAAAAAAAAATGTGAAGATATTATTGGTAGAAAGATACTTTCATTTAAATGTGACTACGGATCTGTTCTCGTACGATTATTATCAGTTCAGTTCAGCTTTAATAAGTTCAGTTCAGTTCAGTTCTATTCAGTTCAGTTCAGTTCAGCTTCTAATTTTCTTCTCTTATAAAATATTCAGTTCAGTTCAGCTCAACTCTAATAAGTTCTGTTCAATTCAGTTCAGCTTTAATTAGTTCAGTTCAATTCAGTTCAACTCTAATAAGTTCAGTTCAGTTTTAATTAGTTCAGTTCAGTACAGCTCACTTCAGTCAATTAGAACACGTCCGTAATCATTTAAACAAGAAAATCATTGTGAAACGGAGGGAATAATTAACAATTTTTATCAACTAATAACATAAGTATTATCAATTGAAACTTAAATGTGAAAAATGGATTAGTGTTTGAATGGTATGTTTTGATGTGTTGAATGAATAGTTTGTACTCGTGTATATAATAAACAATACGACTATTAAACTATTTATATTTTAGACTTAAAGCTATTAGTAAATTCAATTTAGTGACTTTTTTTTACATGTATGGTGCATTACAAATTTACAATCACCTGATTAGCTAGTCCTATTCTATTTACAATATTTACAAAATTTAACTAAAACACGGAGGGAAGCTCTACTAATTAAGTTATCCCTCACTCTCCAAATCTATTAACCTTTATATATATAAATTTAGGGGATCTAAGTGAAAATAGGATGAATAAAACAAGAAGTCAAGAACTAATTGAACTTTGGGCCTGTTCTCATTGACTGAACTCAGCTGAACTGAACTGAAAATAAATGTGTGAGAACAGACCCTTATTGTAATATATAGGAAAATGCTATAAATAGTCTTTACTCTTTAGGGCTACATAAAAATATATTTTGAAAATCATAAAAATATGAACACTGATTATACTGATTTATGCGTGTTTTATCACGAGTGTATTTAATGCTTATATGTAGCCATTAGGACTACAACTACATATACCCATTTGGCCATTTATATAAGCATATTGATTTATAGGTGGTAATTTTGTATTGCCTTATTAATCCTAAAGTAACAAACACCCAAAAAATGATATACGGAGATACTAAAGACAAATAAAAGAATATAAAAATACCAAATAAAGCCAAAATATATGGTTAACGTTCATCAAAGAGAGGAAAAGAGAGACTAAAAAGGAATAAGGTGATATACAAATACCAGAAATTTTGTTACAGAGTACAATTCAATTTATGAAGGAGAAAAATGTGACTGAAAATCATCATGTGACTAGATCATTAGATTAAGAAAACAAAGGATCGATTCAAAGTTGCACCCATACTAATTATATTAATTGGCCAATATCAATAATACGGGATTTAATGGTCTTAACTTAAGCACTTGGCTGGTCTTTTTTTTTTTTTTTTTATAAGACACTTGGCTGGTCTTTTAATTTAATGTTTAATCGCAATGAATTTTTTTAATCGGATTGAAATTTTGGAGATAGTAAGTAAGTTGATATTTATACCAAATAAGCAACTTTATCATGGTGAGAAGTGAAGAGCAAGTAAGTATTTTCCCTTCAAAAAAAAAAAACAAGTATTTAAGTCCTATATATATGGTATTGTATTCCGTACTTAAAAAAAAAAATCTGTTCTTTTCAGCTTAATTTCACTTATGTTCAGCTCCAATCAGTTCAGTTCAGTTCAGTTCCTAATTTCCTTCTCTTATACGGAGTAAACAATTTAGTTCAATTTAGTTCAGCTCATTTCAGTAAAATCAGAACATGCCTTTAATTTAACGGCCAATTGTCCAGATTGGTAAATAAAAAAGGCCCTTAGCGACAATTTGGTAAAAAAAACTTACTCCGGCGACAATTTGGTAAAAAAAAACTAACCTCAAGCGACAATTTGGTAAATAAAATAATCTCAGTCGACAATTAACTCAAAAAATACAAAAATTTCCGATAAATTACTCACGAATGCTTAATATAGTTCGTTTTTCTTGTTATTTTACCAACCCTTTTTTACGGAAATAACAATTTGAAAAAAAAAACGTTAAGTATCAATTTTCACTCAAGTTTCATACCCCTTATTAACGAAATTTTTTTTAAAAAGTGGTTGGAAATAAAAAGGGATGACTTGTAAATTCAAAATTTTAAATGGAAAAAATAAATTTAAGAACACAAAAACAAATTAAATAGGATTTTTAAAGAGTTTGTCGGAAAAAAAATAGATTTTTTGGTCTAAATGTTGCCGGAGTTTATTATTTTTACCAAATTGTCGCATATTGTTAGTTTTTTTTACCAAACTGTCGCCGGAGTAAGTTTTTTTACCAAATTGTTGCTAGAGTTCTTTTTTATTTACCAATCTGGTCAATTGGCCTTAATTTAACTAACGAACACACAAATTTAGACTTTGTCTACTGTCTTGAATCTACTTCTCATCTATTTCTTTAGCAGGGTGAGTTTAGACCTCAAATACAACCTTGCTACACACCGATCAAAAGTGTTATGTAGAGAATATTTAAAATTGGTTGCTTTACTACGGGTAGTAGAATTTTCCCTAAGAAATACTTATATCTAAGGAGATGTAAGTAAACAACTCCCTATAGTTTGTGAGAAGTTTGTATTCCTATAAAGTACGGTTTCTTCCCATTATTTTGCTAACCAAATTAAACAAATATACATAACATACTTTTCTACTTCATAAGAAATTGGACTTTCATGATATTTGGTGTTAATGAAACAAGCATAGGGGGTGTTTGGTATGGGTTTTTGGTAGAGTTGGAAGCGGAATCAATTACCGTTTCCCTTACAATGTGTTTGTTTAATGGCAAAAGAAACAAAAACCGTTTCTTGCCTCTAACCGTTTCCGTTATTTTGTTTCCACAGTAAAGTTTGAGGAAACAAATAACGTTTCCGGACTTTAACACAAGAAAACAAGGTTTTCTCTCTCATCTCTCATCTACTTCGACATTTTCATCAGAAATTCCCAAATTTTTTCAACAATTTTCCTGATAATTCTCTTAAGATCACAGCGATTCTCCAAATTTCGCTCACTTTTTTTCAATTATCTACTTCAAATCAACAAGAATCCTCAATCTCAGGTTTGTTTCTCTCATTTTTTTGTTGAAAAAACCCTAGATTTTGATTATGTGTTGAATTTGTATATATTTTCATTCTGATTGTTTGTATTTTGATTTTATATCTCAAAATACATGGATTGCTGTTTAATTTCCATAATTTCGATTTTATAATTATCCGTCATTTCTCTCGTTTAATTTTTAGGGTTAATATGATATCAATTTCTAGGGTGGTTGATATCAATTTCGATTTTCTGCTAAATTAGATTGTATATATTGCTATTTATTCACCATATCAAGGCGAAAACAATTTTACAGTAGTTCAAATTGAATGATTGCTCTTTTACCTCTTTTGTTCACCAATTTTAGGTGAACTAGTGCTAATCTACATTCTATCTCGTGTTAATTGGTTGCAGTTCAAATTCGTGTTTAATTCTTTGCTACAACTGAATGGTTGTTCTTTTGACAGATTATGAAATCTTGTAAGATTCATTGTTGTGGCTGGTGGGGTTAGTATAGCAAATTTAGCAATAGTTGTTTGAAGTTTTGAAAGGTCATATAGTTTGCTTGCCATAATTGACTGGTATGGTAGTAATTATATGCCCGTTAATTGTGCTGGAGATTGAATGTGGAAAAAGCTAATGTGTGGTTCTGGGAACCTAGTTAGCTGTCTTTTTTTATTATCATAACATATTTTATGCATAATCTGTGTACATCAAGACTTTGTCTAAAACTGTCAGTCATACGAAGTGTTGTTTATATGGTTGATATCAATTATTGCTTGTGTTAAGCATTATGTATATTGATACTATTGTATATTTTTTGGACTGGTTTTTCAAGGTTTCTACAATGCCCCGACTTATGCGTTCCATAAGGAAGAAAAAGCTAAAACAAATACAACTAGTTATTTCAATGGTTATTATTATTTTGATGATGTATTGGATGTGGCATATGATGTGTGTTGTTACAATAAGGGGTGTTCAATTAAAAGAAAGGAAAAGAAACAAAAAATTGCTACGAATGTTAGTTTTGAGAGGGCTTTATAGAGAGAGTGATGTGAAATGCAAGAGTGAGCTCCGCGTTAATAGAAGAACTTTCAATATTATTTGTGAGATGCTTAGAGACATTGGGGGTTTAAGTGGAACAAAAAACATGTCGCTTCAAGAGATCGTAGCCATGTTTTTATACACGTTGGCTCACCATAAGAAGAATAGATCTATTGGACAATATTTCTTTAGAAGTGGAGAAACCGTGAGCCGGCAATTTCACCTTTGTTTAAGGGCTTTTCTCATGTTGCATGAAGTACTACTTTACAATCCCACGCCAATATCGGATGATTGTGAAGATGAAAGGTGGAAATCTTTCAAGGTATTGGTTTTTTCTAAGCCCTTTGCTAGGATTTTCTTATTTTTGCTTGTTTGTAAGTAATATTTTTCGTATTTTGTAGAATTGTTTAGGGGCATTAGATGGGACTTACATTAATGTAAATGTGCCTTCACAAGAACGACCAAAGTATAGAACAAGAAAAGAAACAATTGCTATGAATGTATTGGGTGTTTGTGCACCGAATATGCAATTTATTTATGTTCTTCCTGGTTGGGAAGGTTCGGCCCATGATATGCGTGTACTTCGCAATGCTCTCTCTAGACCAAACGGTTTTAGGGTACCTCGAGGTAAGTGAAGCTCATCATTCTTTTGTGAGTGTATAAGTTTTGTTAGTTTTGGTAGGTAGTAATCCGTTTCTTTAATAACTTTGAAGGTAATTATTATTTGGTTGATGCGGGATATACGAATTGTGAGGGCTTTCTTGATCCATATAGAGGTCAAAGATACCATTTAAAAGAATGGACGGATCAACAACCCGAAAGTGCCGAGGAGTTCTATAACATGAAACATGCTAGGGCGCGAAATGTCATTGAGAGATGTTTTGGCCTGCTTAAAGGAAGATGGAGTATTCTTAGAAGTCCTTCATTTTTTCCTATTATAACTCATGGGCGTATCGTGATGGCTTGTTGCTTATTGCATAATCTAATTAGAAAATTCATGCCTACGGATGATATAAACGAAGATGAATTGAATGAATCCGATGATGATTCCGAAAGTGATTCCGATGATGAAAGGGAATTTATTACAAGTGTTGCTACTTCGGATCATTGGACCAATTTTAGAAATAAATTAGCCCAAGATATGTTTAATGATTGGAGGGCGAGAGGTAGACATGGTCAATAGCAAACAATGTATGCTTTTTCTTTAATATATGTTTCTTCATATATTTGCTTGTGGCATTTTCTTTTAGATTATTTTTGTTTAATAAGCTTACCATTAGCATATTGTACTCTGAAATTGGAATTATGCCTGTTTTATTATCCTGCCTCTTAATTTGTTTGCTCATGAATTGTGCCTTGATTTGTTCTGTGTCAAGGGGATGTTCTATTTTTTTGAATTGATTTTGAGTGTTTTTCTTTTATGCTGCTCTTTGTTATGTACCTTTTTTCTTTTAGTCAAAGAGAAGTTTTAAGGTTGTTGACTGGGTTTGGCTCAAATTACTTGCTTACAGGCAGTAATATTTACAGAGTAGGAGTAACCAAAAGTAGCTAAGTAGCTTATGAGTATTTTGGTCCCTCTCAAGTTCAAGTAGTTATTAGTTAAAGTAGCTTAAGTCGAAGTTGCCTACAAAAACTCAGATACATGATGTCTTTCATTTACTAAGCTAAAGGTCTTTAGAGGATTTTGCATCTCATATTCCAGTTGTATTTCAAGCTAAGGGCAGGAAAGTTCTCAGTCTTCTTTGTTTACCAGTTTCCTAAACAATATATATATAAGTACATGTCTCCTGCTGCCTCTATATGCTACTGTTGCTGTCTTTGTATGCTATTGTTGCTGCCTATGTCTGCCTTAGTGTAACTAACAATTAATTATATTTTATTACTTGAAAAATTGATTATATTTTATAGGATCATTTTCTAACTTTGGCCTAATTTTCTAATCTACAATTTGTTTAGGATGGAGATTAGCAATCGAGGAAGAGGTAAAAATAAAAGGTATTGGACGTATGAAGAATATGCGGTTCTAATAAGATATTTGCATGAGTTGAGTTGCGATCAAAAGTGGAAGTGTGAGAATGGGTTTAAGAATGGTTACATGAATAAATTGGAAGAGATGATCAATGGTGTACTTCCTAATTGTGGCTTGAGAGCGGTTCCCCACATTGAGTCGAGGATCAAGCATTGGTCGGAGAAATATAGTGCATTTGCAGAAATGCTATCCACCTCAGGATTTGGATGGGATGCTGAAAAGAAATTGTTGCAAGTAGACAAGGCCGTGTACGATGAATGGGTGAAGGTATGAACTGCTATTTATTACACTAACCTTCTTAGTTTCATACTAACTTTGTGAATGTATCTTGAAATCTTGACATAATGAGAAACAAATCAGTATTATTACCAGCAGATGACCATTCATCTAAATCTGTGTTCTGAGTTTTTCGAAAACTATATACTCACTTGACATGGTATACTAGCTATAATTCAGAAGAAAATTTAGACAGCAAGTATAGTATGATTAGTATGATTAGTACGATTAGTATCCATGTTTTCAAGTTTCTTTTGCAAACTCTGAGCTGTTGGTGCCATCAGGTTACTGTTGCTGGTTCAGACTGTTGTTTGTTGCTTATGCTTTGTTTTTTGTGGTCGGTCTTGTTGCTTGTTGGTGGCTGTTGTCCTTATGTTGTTACTGTTGTGTTGTCTGTGAGTCTGCCTGCTGGTATCTGTCAGTGTGGTTGCTCTGTCTTTTGTTGCAGGCTGTGATTTCAGGAGCATTTGTTTTGGTTTCCTGGTTGGTGTATGTTTGTAGGTGACTTTTTAGCTAATATTGGTGTCAATTGGTTTTGGCCGGTTTTCTTAGATTTATTCCTGAATTTTGTCCTATCCCTTGCAGTGAAGGGAGTAGTGTTTTGGTTGTACTTTATATGAGAATTAGTGCTTAATTTTACATTCTCTTATATGGCAGACTCATAAGAAAGCTAAGGGGTTGTATGGAGTTCCATTCGTTCATTATGAAACTCTAGCAGAAATATATGCAAAAGACAAAGCTACCGGAGATGTAAGTGAGTCATTCGTTGATGCCATAGAAGGTATTGATCAAGAGATTGATAAGCAACCATTGATTGTCGAGAGTGATGAAGAAGATGATGTGAATTCTACTAATTCGGACACTTATTCTTCTACAAGTCAATCCGGAAAACGCCCCGTGAAGATAGAGGATGATCATATAACTCCTTCAAAAATGGCAAAACGCTCTATAAAGGCAAAGGAGGTTAAGGTGAAAGGAAAGAACAAGGTAAATTTGAAGAGTTTGTGTAGGAATGATGATGATGATTTTGTGGCCTCTCTCCATGATGTTTCCAACAATTTTGGGAAGATATTTGAAAATATCAATGTTAATCTCGGGACTATGGCTAGTGCATGGTCTAAAGCGGAAGAAAGGGAGCAAAGGATGGATGAAAAGGTGAACAAGGTATTGGATGAGGTGATGAAGTTAGATGGAATTTCTCCATCCGAAGCTTTAGAGGTTGCTACTATTCTCATGGCGGAAGAACATAAGCTTCGTATCTTCTATCAAGCACCATTTAACATGAAAAAACAATATGCAATTGATCTTCTTAAGAAGAAGTAGCATTTGATTGTTGTCATGTCTTTGTTTTTTTGTTGAACATTTGCAACTTGAGCAATACAAGTTATGTGTTGGGATTATTCATATAATGATGGACATATTATTAGTCAATGTTTGGATAATTAATGAGTGCCAACTTTGCTTTGTATATATATATATATATTGTTTTTTTTAACCGTAAAATATGTAGCATAGACAATATTTTTTATCTAGGTTATTTTTTTATTTTTTTACCCGTAAAATATGAGCATAGACAATATTGTATTATTCATTCTTATTTTTCGTTTCCGTTTGTTATACCAAACAAAAGGAAACGGAATGGTGATAATTGTTTCCGTTTCCTTTGATGTACCAAACAACTACTAAGGGTAACACTATTTGTTACCCTTTCCCCTCCTAATTTATTTCCATTCCGTTTCCTATATTAACTCCATACCAAACACCCCCATAGAGTATACAATTAGTATATAAGTCAAAATGTTGCTAAAAATAATTAAATGTAATATCCCCAAATATTACATGTTGGTTTTAACCAATAGTGGTCATTATATTTACTTCTAATTTATATTTTCTTGGTAAAGGGAAGAAAACTTTTTCAGATATTTCTGAATACTCGCAACAATTGTGATTATTTGACAACAAATGGAGTATTAGGTGAGCCCTTAACAAAACACCAATTTACTTAATCCTCGTATATGGTCAACAAGAATACATCACTACAAGAGTTAAACGGATCATACAAATTAAAAATAACTAAGGCGATTGTGCCTTGTGCCACCTTTTTATTTATCTAAATTTATTAATTTATTATGAGATATACTAATTTAATTAGCATTTCAAAAGTGGTTCTCTAGACTTTCAAAAGGCGATAAAGTTGTGAATTTATTCAAATTTGCCTATCACACACACTAAACCACTTGTATGATTTTCTCATCAGTGATGTATTTGCTCGATCTCACCATCATCCACAAGACCATATTAATGAGTTAGTTTTAATTTGTTATTTAGTAAGGTTTGGTTCTTCTAAGTTTATTTCATTTTAATTTTGTTTAATGTAATTCAACTCAGTTTATTATTCTAGTTTAGTTTAATTCAATTAAGGGTCTGTTACATTGACTGAACTGAGCTGAACTGAATTGAAATGAACTGAATTGAAATGAATATTTTATAAGAGAAGGAAATTAGGAGCTGAGCTGAACTGAACTGAACTGAATTGAGCTGAACTGAACTGAATTTCAACGTAAGAGAACAAGTCCTTACTCTCTAAATTTTTTTTTTATTATTATTTAATCCAAAAGTAAAAAGCCCAAGTAACCTTAGCTTTGAAAAAAATTATAATGATAGTGATCTATTCCCTGAGAAGCAGGAGACGGCCTTGAGCCTCCATTATATAGCTAGGAAAACTAACAATAGAGCATGTCAGATTAGATTATTAGTGTAATGTCTAGTCAATCAATCTCATGTGTATACGTACGATTAGATGATAGCTGGGGAAATTGATTTGGCACACCACTTATAAATTTTGTCATACCCGAATATAACAAATTATGCTCTTACATAAAGGTATATTATTATTATTATTATTATTATTTTTTACAAAACATAAAGGTGTATTAAAATCAAATTTGGTGTGTCAAATATCATTTCCCATAGTTAATTTATGGAGTACAAATATGTAAATTTTACTTGGTACTCCGTATCAAAACATATATGAAGTATGTACAGGCAATACAACAAATATTACTCAAACTTTCTTTTTTTGGTGTTTAAAGAGCCACAAACGCGGGGGTGAGAATCGATCCCAGGATCTCCTAGAATCGGGAGGGAAGCTCTAACCACTTGAGTTATCCCTCACTCAAACTTTCAGAATAAATATAGAAATTTTCTTACTTTGTTTTATTTGGTTGGTTTATTAGGCACTAAGGGCCTGTTCTCATACGTTTATTTTCAGTTCACTTCAGCTCAACTTCTAATTTCCTTCTCTTATAAAATATTCATTTCAGTTCAGTTCAGTTCAGTTTAGCTCAGCTCAGTTCAGTTCAGCTCAGCTCAGTTCAGTCAATGAGAACAGGCCCTAAGGCCATGTTCACTTCACATTAAAAAAATAATATTCATTAAATAAATTTCAATTCAATAAAATTAATTTCAGTTCAGCAAAAATAATTTTAGTTTTGTAAAAATAATTTTAGTTCAGTAAAAATCAGTAAACTTAAAGAAGAAGTATAATTGAAAATCCGTAAAAATAATTTCAGTTCAGTAGAATTAATTAATTTAGTAAAATTATTTCAATTCAATAAAAATAATTTAAGTTCAGCAAAAATAATTTATGTTCGGTAAAAATAATTTCATTTCACTAAAAATAATTTCACTTGAGCAAAAATAAGGTAAAGTGAACGGGACCTAAGGTCGCCCTATAGATCTTGAATCTTGATCTTCTTCTGATTTTTATTTTAACTGAAATTATTTTTGTTAAACTTTAATTATATTAACTAGACTAAATTATTTCAATAAAATAAAAACGCACAACTTGGCTTTTCTCAAGTGCCTTATCTTTTATACATGGGGTTGATTTTGGGCTCGATTCTTGTGGATATTATTACTTGTTAGGAGTCTTAGGACTTAGGAGTAGGGGTCTTGTGCATTTCGAGAAAAAGGTAAAATTGTGTATTTGTGTTTGTGTATGCATTTATTTTTGGAGGTAAAGAAAGTCAATAGAATATCAAAAGAATTTCCAGGTATCAACTTTGTTGCTGTTGACTCAAGCTTATCACTTTCTCAGCAACCAAAATCTAATCCAAGCGCCTATTCTCATTGATTAAAATGGGCTGAACTGAACTTATTAGAACTAAATTGAACTGAACTGAATATTTTATAAGAGAAGGAAAATAAAAGCTGAACTGAACTGAACTTATTAGACCGAAAATAATCATATGAAAATAGACCCTAACTGCTCATATAGCAATCGTTGTTTGGTAGCGTAGTACTCCAAACGGCCATACTTGGTAAGCTATAACGCCTAATACTTGCAATTTTTATTGTTGGATTAGTCTCGATGCATATTTTCATTTAATTTTTATGGAAATTTTGTGAAAAACTACCTATTATAATTCAGAATTTGCGAGAAACTACCTATTAAAAAAAATGTTGTAATTGACTACCTAATTTTTTAAAAATGTTGTAATTGACTACCTAATTTTTTAAAAATATTGTAATTTACTACCTTTACGCCGGATTATGAAGGAGTTTGACCAAAATTCTCCGGCGTTGACTTGGTCACGTGACACTTGGTGAAAGAAAAGGGTCATTAAGTGTCACGTGATGGTCACGTGACCAAGTCAACACCGGAGAACTTTGGTCAAAGTCCTTCATAATCCGGCATAAGGTAGTAAATTACAACATTTTTCGAAAATTAGGTAGTCAATTACAACATTTTTTTTAATAGGTAGTTTCTCGCAAATTCTGGATTATAATAGGTAGTTTTTCACAAAATTTTTCCTTTCCTTTAATTTTTATGTAAATTTTGTTTTGGTAAGCATAAAATTTTCATAGTTATTAATAAAATATGAAAATTGTGAGTACTAAAAAGATTGGTCTGACTTATGCAATCTTAGATTATTTGTGTAATTACTACGAGTAGTAGGGATGACAATGGGGCGGGTCGGATGCGGATGATGATACCTCCATACCCATACCCGCCTAAAAATCTTATACTCATCCCCGTCCCACCACCCGTGACGGGTACAATATTCACATCCATACCCGCCCCACCGGGTACAAGATAGGATCCATCCCCGCCCCATCACCCACTTGAATATTCATATCCACCTCATACCCGCCCCAAAATCGTCCCAAACCTTTGTCATGATGCTCTATTATATCACATTAATGACGATTATATCAAATTAGGTTAAGAAAATTGGGACTTTTACTATTCAAGCTTATTGGGTCTTAGGGGGCATCAAGTTTCATAAATTTTCAACTCTTCTAAAAGAAATATGGTGCGAGTATAAGGTGGGTACGGGGCGGGACGGATATGGGGCGGGTCTACTCTAAAATCCATACCCGCCCCATCACCCATGGCGGGTACACATTTTATACCCATCCCCGCCCCATCACCCGCCAAACCTCCCTTCATCCCCGCCCCACTTGGACGGGGATGGGGCGGGTCTCCCATTTAACCCGACCCACTGTCATCCCTAACGAGTAGCATGTACAACAGGACAAGAAGTAAGAAGTAGTACATACAAACTAACAAATAGATAATATGAGTACAAAATATTGTAAGAATAGTTGCTTTATAAAAATTTATTCCCCATGACATGCAAAAATAATCTACTGAAAATCATTCATCTACTAAAATGCCAAAGATGAATGTCTTCTAATCTACTTAGTTACTTCGTAAAACATAAAAAATCGATTAGGTGGTATCCAAAATTTAACTAAGACCAAATCTTGTATATATTATCATTATCACCCGTGATTTTAATTGAAATTCTTATGATGTAGTTACTAAATATAAGAGGAATGCAAAAACTAATAAATTAAAAATAGAAAAAAAAAAGTTGGAAAAAAAATTGGAATAAGAATGAGATTATTATGAGGTGTGGGTCCACACACCTCCAACAAAAAAAAAGAAAAGATAATTAAGGTAAAAGATTGGCATTAAAACCCCTCTGAATTTCAACTGCTTTAGATACCATTGGCTTGCTTATTGTGAGGCAAGCAGCAGCTAATTTGGCCAAATGTAACTTCTTTGATAATTTAACCAATAATTAATATATGGCCTCCTTTTTAGGAATTCAAGTTTTTTAGATGAGATTGTCCATCTTTTTTTAACTTTTAAGATTATTAGTTTTCTTTGATTATTTTGTTTCACTTTACTAAGGATATAAACTTTATATAGTGTATATGTTTTATAGGGGGAGCCATGTTCAAGATAAATTAACTCACTCTTGTAAAAGTTTGTTATATTATTCAATTATACTACCAGTACATAATAAGAAGAGAAAGCAATTATATTGCTTATATTGGAAAAAACAATTTGTGTATTCGATCCACAAATATAAGATACTCAAAGTTAATTAAATGAGTTAATTAATTTGTTGATGTTGTATGTGTCATATATGTACATGTATTATACATGATATATGTGCAATATATGTATGATATGTGTACAAAAATAGATTAATTAACATAATTAAGTTTAAATAGAATTTATTATTAATTTATTTGAACTCATTTAAAAAGATTGTTAGATTTGTCACTGCTTAA